AGAGAGAGAGAGAGAGAGAGAGAGAGAGAGAACACAAGCAGGGGGAATGGCAGGCAGAGGGAGGGAGCAGGGGCAGGGAGCCTGATGCGGGGCTTGATCCCAGGACCCTGGGATCATGACCTGAGCCGAACGCAAACGCTTAACCGACTGAGCCCCCCCAGGCACCCCTTTGTTTTTATTTTTTAAGTAGGTTCCATGCCCAATGTGGAGCCCAACATGGGGCTTGAACTCAAGACCCTGAGATCAAGACCTGAGCTGAGATCAAGAGTTGGACGCTCAACCAACGGAACCACCCAGGTGCTCCAAGAACCACTAATTTAAATCACAGAACGAGAGAACTTGCTTTAGGCCAACTCAAATCCTCTCCTGAACCGTCTTAGTTGAAGCCCTCTTCATCTCTGGCCTAAACTACTTAATCCAAAACCTGGTCTCTCTGCTTCTCAACAAATACCCCTTTAAACCTAGCCCCTCTACACTTGTACCAATGTTTTTAAAATGCAAATTTGACTTTAAAGCTCTTCAACAGGTTCTCCTGCCTACACAAAACTCCTTAACATAGTATACATGATTCGGAACCTATCAGATCTTCTATGCTCCTTTCCTTCGTTCTCCTATCCTCTAGCCATATGGAACTACTTACAGCTCTCAAAAACAAACAAAAAAAAACAAACAACATGCCTCACGCTGCTCCTTCTGCCTGGTATGGCTTTCACTAAATAGCTGCCAACCCCAACAGCCTTCAGAACATCTCGAGCATATCCTTTTTATTAAAGGCCTCCCCAATCTTACATTCATTCACCCTTACGTCAGGTGCTGGGAGCATAGCAACAAGCAGACAAGGTCCCAGCCTTCACATTCCAGTGGGGTTGCTGCAGTGTGACTGTGTATGTCCATACACAATTCCAGGCTGCTGAAAGTCTATGAAGAAAAATGGGGTAAGGTAAGCAGCCAGGGAGCAATGGAATGAGAAAAAGCTTTTTTGATAGGTCAGACGACATTTGAGTCAGTGACCTGGGGAAAAGAGAGGAGAGCAAGTACAAAGATCCTGAGGTAATAATAAGCTTTTCACAGCAACAGCAAGGAAGCCAGCATGGCTAGAGAGTGAGCTAAAAAGAGAATATAAGGAGATAAATTAAGAGGTAGGAGGAGATCAATTCATGTTGGGCCTTCTGGGTTATGGTAACTTTGGATTTTATTTCAGTGGCATGAGGAGCTCTGGAGGGTTTTGTTGGGGTGGGGGATGGGGGGCCTCAAGTAATCCCTAAATCTACTAGGAGAATGGGCTATAATGGGACAAGAATAGAGATGCAAGGAGACTAGTTAAGAGACTACTGAAATAGACCAGGTGAAAGTTGATGGTGGTTCACACTTCAGTAGCAGTGGTAGTGGAAGAATGGTTATAAGTCCAGATATAATTTGGCAGAAGAGACTTGCTCTTCTCCATATATGAGATATGGAAGGTGAAACAGAAATCAAGTATGTTCCTTACATCTTACATATCTATTTATTTATTTATTTATGACTTCTATTAAAATTGTTTACCTGTCTGTATGGAATGTTTTTTCTCTGGTTAAGTTGGAAGCGCTTATAGCCTCACTTTATTGCACACAAAAATTAATTACAGGTGGATTAAAAGCCATTTTTTCAAGGCAAAAAGAGTTGTCAAATTTTGGCAAGATTTAGGGCTAAGTCTGGATGCAAAAAGAGAAATTCCAAAGAAAATTAACATGATTTATGAAACATTAAAAACAGATGTCAACACTTATCACATACTATATATTATATATGGAATGTTGCTTTTAGAGTTTTACAGAAATTAAGTCTTAGTTCTCCTAACCATAATATACTATTATCTCCATTTTGTAGAGGAGGAAACTGAGGTCACACAACTTCCAGTGGAGGAACCAGGTGTAACTCTAGCTTTAGTCTTTGCTCTAAAGCGCTATTCTATAGCTGCCTCCTCTCAGAGACTGAGCTCCACGAAAACAGGTTAGCCTTACTTATTTTTCTATCTTTTGTCATGTAAGTGGCAAGATAAATATTTACTGAATCAATGAATGATTTCTCTGACTCTTATGATCTGGCAGTAAAAGTCGGCATCTGGGAGACAGACTAAAAATAACATGCTTCATTATTTTATTTAAGAAAACTTGCTTTTGGGTATGCAATCCAGAAACTCCGATTCCCGCTGTGGCAGCCGGTAGCTAAGTCCAGATGAAGGTCACAAGGGAAAGGGGCGGGGCTTAGAAGACACCAAAACCAGCTCCTAGTTAGAACACATCATTTACCCTCTTAGTCTTTGCCATGAGATGATAAGACAATGTTTCAGACAGTTACAGGAGCACCAGTGTTTGAATGAAGCTTTAAGCCTTTCAAAATTACCTAAAGAAAGTTAATTTCGGGCCTAAAGCTAAGAGGGGGTTACAGAGAAGTGAAATGAGGTGATAAAACAAGGACGAAGGAAGTATTACACCCCTCTTACTTACCCTGGACCAAGGAGAGCTGCGTTCTTCAGACAGGGGGCTGCACATAAACAAGGCGCAGGTGAGCAAGGGAGCAAGGTCAAGGTGAAATCTGGTCTGTCCTTTCCTCGGTCCCCGCGGGGCCCGCCCACTAAGGCCATGCACCCCTCTTTCCAGTCTCCCGAGACCCCCACGCGCGCCCCTTGTGAGCGGCGCAATTCATTCCCCACTCGGGCCCAAATCTTCCTGCACCTTCCTACACCCCCTTTCCTCCCACCCCCTCCAGTAACCCTAGACGCACTCCTTTGCAATCACTCTGATAGCCCGGACTAGGGTGTAGATTGGTTACCCGCTGCGGCGGCCGCAGAAAAAACCACCCGAGACAGCATGGTCAACCAGGGTCCGGACAGCAGGCTCTGCGTCCCAGTGACCCCGGCAAGAGTCTCTGTCAGGGGCGTGAGCAAGATGGTCGCTCACAAGTCTCGCGAGAAGAGAACATTGTGCCCTTCGTCCACTGACTTTGCCTCGAATTCTTTTTCTCGCGATAAGAGGCACTGAACGCGGAAAACTCTTTGCCAGAGGGCCGCAGCCGGCCGCAGAATGGAACAGTAGAAGCAATTCTCGCGAGATGTAGAGGGGCCGTAGCCCGTGGAGAGGGGCGGAGGCCCAGAGGGGCACCACGTGGGGCTGCCGGAGCTGGCTCTCGCGCGGTGGTCCAGTTTGGGTCTAGGTTGGAGGTAGAACCGTGGAGATGCGGAAGGAAACCCCGCCCCCCCTAGTGCCCCCGGCGGTCCGCGAGTGGAACCTTCCCCCTAATGCGCCCGCTTGTATGGAACGGCAGTTGGAGGCTGCGCGGTATCGGTCCGGTGAGCCGAGATCCCGGGCCTGGGAGCTACCTCACCCTGGCTCTGGATGCCCTTTCCCAGGACTGGCCTTTCTAGCCCGCCCCCGCCCCGCATGCCTTCCTGACCCTTGCTTCGCGTCGCTTAGTTCAGCCCCCACCTTTGCCCCGGGTTTCCGAGCTCAGATCCAGACTCGGCCCGCGTGCTGTTCAGTGCGGTCACCATGGAGACGAGCCCTTTCACTCCTCCCGCGCTGACAGCTTGTACTTCCTTTAGATGGGGCTCTCCTGCTCGGGGCCTCCAGCCTGAGTGGCCGCTGCTGGGCTGGCTCCCTCTGGCTGTTCAAGGACCCTTGTGCAGCCCCCAACGAAGGCTTCTGCTCCGCTGGAGTCCAGACGGAGGCCGGAGTGGCTGACCTCACTTGGGTTGGGGACAGAGGTATCCTAGTGGCTTCCGATTCAGGTGAGTCACTTTCTCCACAACCCCACAGGTGGAATGGAGCATGGGATACAGATCGGACCGTGTTCAATCCTTATTGTCCCATACTCAGTGCTTGGGGAGCTTGAGGGTGTTGGCCCGAAGGAGAGCTCTTGTGTAGCGGGAAAATACCTTTCCGAGATTCTAAATTGCCTGGTGGGAATTTCTAACAAAATTAAGAAGTGGATTAGAACCATTTTTCTTCCCTGTAACCTTCCCAGTATCCCCCCTCAACCCAGACCAAGGATAATCTTGATCTTAAAGATGATGCTTAAGTCAGTCTCTGCTTCTTTCCATTTCCTCCCGTTTTCTTCTTTTTAAATGTCTTCATTCCGCTTTGTTTTGAAAGTCAGGTTCAGCGGTGGTCTTTGGAGTTAAAAAAAAAAATCAGTATTTGGATATTGGCAGGCATTGCATGGAAAGATAAAAGGGGGTCATTAAAGACTGAGCCTCTCTGACAGTTGAGCTTCAGCACAACATACTCAAGACAGCTTTTGGGGGTTCTCTGTACTTAACCTTTCACTGTGCAAGACGTTCAGTAATTCACAACATTTGTGAAGAAGCTATAAGGCATTTACTCAAATTGTTCAACAAATACAAAGCAATTGGGAAGATTTAACCACGCTGGACTATGTACTACACAGATTGTTGAGACTTTAATCCTTGTCTCTTGGGACTTATCTTCCAGTGTTTTCTCATGGAAGCCAGATAATGGGTTTTCCCAGCCATTCCATCTTTCTCTGTCTTTCTAGAAGCTTTCCCTGGCCTAATTGTCTGGACTGTTATTAAGAAGACAGTCATGCCAGCATAAAGCCAGATGGCTTGGAAATTAGCTAAATCCTGTAGTGATAATGGGTTTTGCTTTTATAGGAATAGCTTACTTTGTTAGTTTAGTGACCGTGGACTCACTTGAATCCTAGAAGTGAATTACAGTCTTGGTGTAATCCACACTCATTTCCCTCTACCTTCTCCCCACTCCCAACAGGAGCTGTTGAATTGTGGGAGCTGGATGAGAACGAGACACTCATTGTCAGCAAGTTCTGCAAGTATGAGCATGATGACATTGTGTCTACAGTCAGTGTCCTGAGCTCTGGCATACAAGCTGTCAGCGGTGGCAAAGACTTCTGGTGGGTCCTTGTGCTCATTGATCCTGCATTTTACTTTATTTTTATTTTTTTTAATTAAAAAAATTTTTTTTATTTTTTAAAGATTTTATTTATTTATTTGAAAGAGAGAAAGAGCGCGCGCGAGAGAGCACGAGCAGGGTTAAGGGTAGAAGGAGAAACAGGCTCCCCACTGAGCAGGGAGTCTGATACGGGGACTCCATCCTGGGACTCCATCCCAGGACTCCGGGATCATGAGCTGAGCTGAAGGCAGACGCTTAACGGCTGAGCCACCCAGGCGCCCCAGTCCTGCATTTGAGACCTCTTTTGTGTGTCTTTACTATCCTATTAGCCTCATCGAATAATGTTTTGGGCGTGTTGTAAGAACGCAGTGATTAATTATGACATGTCTATGACATTTCTGTAGAGATAGTAAATCCATTGTGAATAGGCCCTAGCAGAAGCCCAGTAGGCAATGACATAGAACATGTCAGTTAAAAGAAGTTCTTGTTGGAACACATGTTTTTATGTAGATACTGTAGGTCAGAATTAAGGATCTGTTTTCTTTTGCTTCTTAGCATCAAGGTTTGGGACCTTGCCCAGCAGATGGTACTGAGTTCATACCGGGGTGAGTGCACGTTCTTTTTAGTCCTGGCCTTAGCTGTTTTGTTTTTATTCTCCCCTTGGACTGTTTGAACTTTGGATACCAGGGGCAGCAGTTCCTTAGGGCCCTTTGCCTGATAGTTTTCTTCCAAAACTATAGTCAGGCCCCAATACCTATCCGTTGCCTTTTCTTAATTTCCCTATTTCCAGCAATGGCCTCACCATCTTCTTGGCCACATGAGACTCGAGCTCTGAGTCCTTTTCCACCCCTCCTGCTTCCTCACTATCAGTGGGTCCCAGAGTTCTTTGGAGTCTTTTACCACTTGGTCAGTGATTTCCCTTTCCATTTCTGATGCTCCCTTTTGCTTTCAGGTTTTACTTCTCACAGATGGTGGCACTCACCTCATCTGTCCATCTGCAGTCCCTCATCTTTCGTGGTTTGTGTGGCTTGTGGGTTAATATCCCATTTTCTTGTCATGGCATTCAAGCCCTTCTTTCACTCCCCCTTCAAACACACTGCTCTAATTAAAACCAATCATAGTAGATCCTTGACATTCTCCAAGAATAAACCCCGAGACTTGTGAATCTTGAACTTCTGAATATTCACCTCCATAAAATTTCTATTTTTCTGGTGAGAGCCATCACTTTCTATTAAGGTTACTTTTTTTTTTTTTTTTTTTTAACTCATTTTCATTAACAGCAGTAGCAGCCAACTTTATTCTGGGAGCCGTTCTTCGTAAAGATAATACCTGGAGCATTTATTGTGTGGCTAAGAGATGTAGATGTTCGATGATCACTGGTTCACTCAATGGCTAAGTGCCATTCCCTGCCAATTCTAACTGCAAAGTGTATGCTTCACATATGTGCCAAAGCAAAAATCACAAACTCCTAAAGGTCTCGGACCTTCAGTGTTCAAGACTTGTAAATGGTCCAACAATGTTAAAATGCCAATGTGGAGTCTACTACACATGCCTTTTGTTTCTTAGGCCTATGAAGGGTGTTCCTGGTCTGCCCTAACCCTTTCAGCACTTTCTCCGGTCATCTTTTTTCATTAGTTCTTTGTATTCTGTCTTTTTCCCCCCACTGAATTGCAGATCCCTTGAGGGCAAAGGAACCACTTTATCTTTTGTATTTTCCCTAGGTACTTGTCTCTGAGCTTTGCTTTCAAGTGCGCAATCAATTCCTTTTCATTGTGTTGGCTTTCCATGGATTCTAGGGCTAGGAAAGAACTATAAAGGGTGGTTTGATTACATCTTCTTGTCTTGGGCAGAGCCGTGTTCGGGCTATCTCAGGTAGTCTGGTTAAATGTCCTTAGAATATGTGGTTTCCACAGCCTGTAATTAACATAGACCAGTGATCTTTAAAGTTTTTAGCGTGTAGGCCTCCTGAAAAATTTTCAAGAAACTACCTTCTCACACGTTTTTAAATTGGCATCTAACTTAAGTTTAAATAGTTGCAAAGGAGGTACTTTCTGGCCATATCATTATTGTGCACTGGATTTGCAGAGTAAGCCCCTTTAATCTCTGAAAAATGTCTACCAAATAACCTAACTGGCTAGAAACTAACCGTGCATTGTTAAGCCAGGTGCCCAAGTTAGACTTAACTTTCTATTAGAAAAAGTCTGACTTCATCTTTAAGTTCAGTTCAGCTTGTCAGATGTGTCCTTATGACAACCATCTCTCATAGTTTTCAAAATTTTCATTGCTAGGCGGAGCTAAGACCCAGAATCACTCTAGCGCTTGTGGTATGTTGTGGTTTGTGGTAGGATGAAACAAGGCCAGCCCCTGCGCTGAATTTTAGCCAGATGCTCTTTCTTTTGCTCTTTGGCTCTTAGGGAAAAGCCCCTTTGGTTTAATACCTTAGGGTTTCATACACCTGGGCATTGTGCACCATACCATGGTGCAATGTGGAGTGGGTGAGAGGTGCGCGTCCCTTCTACAACTGGGAGAAGAGGAATTGAAAGCCCGAGGCAGGAAAGGGGCACTGGCAGACTCTGGCAGCGTCTCAGTTCAATTTCAGGAAAGAGAATTTTGGAAAAGTTTATTTCCCAGAATGTATCAGTGTGCAGACCTCCCTTGAAAGTGTCTGTATGTTATCTGGAGGTGTGTGTGTACTGTCGTATGGAAAATTGCTGTTCTGGGATATAAATCCCTTCACTCTTCTTGCTCAGCCCCTAATTTTTCTTTCCTTGTCTTTACTAATTCATTTTCTTCCCCAAGTCTTTCTAGGTTTTAGAACTCCATCAACGTTTTCTCTTAGGTTTTGTCTAATCCAAAATCTCTCACAAAGTTTGTTAAATTGTATCATGAGATAAGGCCCGTTTCTCACACCTCCCTTGGTAGTATCTGGGCTGTGTGGTAGTAATGCCCCTGGCTTCTGCTCTGTCATACTCCCTTTTCTCTCTCCTTCACAGCTCACTCCGGGCAGGTCACCTGTGTCACAGCCTCCCCGCACAAGGATTCCGTGTTCCTTTCCTGCAGTGAGGTGAGATACAGCCTTTCCTTCCCTCCCTACTTCCTAACCACACTCCAACCCTCTGGCCACAAGTCTAGTGTGGGGACTTGGCCAGCAGCCGCTTTTTGGACTGTGAAGCTCTTTTTCTGTTCCTTCTTCTAGGACAACAGAATTTTACTCTGGGATACCCGCTGTCCCAAGCCAGCATCACAGATGGGTAAGTCTGAGAGCCAGTGGTAGGAGGGTGGTACTAGGAACCCACCTGGAAGAGGCTTCCTTGGCCAGAGACGGAGGCAAAGTCATCAGATGCTCAGTCAGTGTGACATAAGGGACATAATCCCTTTTTTCCCCACTGAGGCTCTGTTGATTGATTCCATTTTGTGCCGTGGGTACCAAGAGGAAGGGTTGGTTTGTGGGTGGCTGATTTACTTTACATTTCTGGGAAGGATGGACAAAGGGGCCAGAATTGTTGCCTTCATGCTTTATGCCTGAAATCTGCCTATGACTCATGTCCAGAAAGGGCAGGAGGCCGAAGGATAAATAAGGGTATGAGGGTCAAGGGCAAGGACACAACTGCCTTAGCAGGGTTTGGGAAGGCAAATAAAGGTGCTTCTGAGACTTGGAGTGACTTTGTTTGAGAAGCTTCTTCACAGGGCTGGGCTCTGAGTCTCGTTTCGGGTCCCTCTTCTCTCTGCAGGCTGCACTGCCTCAGGCTACCTTCCTACCTCCCTGGCTTGGCATCCTCAGCAGAGTGAAGTCTTTGTCTTTGGTAAGGCAACCTGTCCCACAGCATTTTGACTCTGGGAAGGGGGAGGATGAGAACACGCTGACCCTGTAATGCACAAGGCTCGAGCCACTCAGTCTCAGTGGTGGACTTGGGCATTATGTGAATTATGCCAGTGGGAAGGTGGGATGATCCAAAAGTGGTTTTAGTTTGGCTTTGGAAAACATGATGACTTTTTAGATTTGATTCCTGATTATGTGCTCCAGCACCTGTATTCTGGGCATGGGCAGAAGTCAGTGTACCACAAAACAAGTGGATTGCTATAGAGGGAACTCTGTTGTTGAGTAGGGATAGCTCCTGTGCTCTCATAGCTATGAGGCTGTACATGTGGTGACATAGTTTGTGGATAAAATAATAACTGCCTCGTTCATTAATTTTCACAACCACCAGTGACTAATTACCCTATTTGACGAAAGAAGAAACTGATGCTCAGAGTGGTTAGCTCATAAAAGGTTGAGGAGCTAGCATTCAAATCCAGGTCTGGCTGACTCCAGGGCCCACGTTCTTATCCACTGTGATGGGCTTCCTCTTTAGGGGACGAGAGTGGAACTGTCTCCCTTGTGGACACCAAGAGTGCAAGGTGTGCCCTCAGCTCAGCTGTGCACTCCCAGTGTGTCACTGGGCTGGTGTTCTCCCCACACAGGTACTGTCCTTTGTCCCCAGGGGCCTGATGGGTATGAATGGGACAGTGCTGGGGCATGCTTTTGTTTGCAGAGCATTAGCTGATTAGGTCATTCCTTAAAGCAGACAGTGGTCTAGCTGAAGTTTCAGAACTCTAACGATCTCTGAAGACCATAGTCCTTTTTTGGGTAGTGTGGTTTTCTGTCTGCACAGGGCTAAAATAAGGTGCTGTTCCTGCTCAACACCCAGAATGATTAATATTGTGGGCTTCTGAGACTGTGTGGTTGGGAAAGCTTCTGCGTTCTTGCTAAAGCTGCAGGGAGGGACCAGATGGGGTAGTTGGTTGCCAGGATGATTGTCCACCCTGGCTTACTCCATTTCCCTCCTCTTTCCCTGGAACTTGTAATGTGGACTTGAGTGGTAGCCAGACCTTAACCTGAAGTGGGGACCAGGCCACCTCCTCTGGGTCACTTTAGGGTGGGGGGTGGGGGCTAGACCAGGCAGGATTCATCTTGGGACCATGGCTTTACCTGTCCTAACCCTCCCCTTGCTCTCCCTAGTACCCCGTTCCTGGCCTCTGTCAGTGAGGACTGCTCACTTGCTGTGCTGGACTCAGGCCTTTCTGAGGTGTAAGTGTGAAATGGGGTCCTATGATGAGGAATCGGGGAGAAGAGCTGTGGGTGGCTGGGTCCTTTCTGTCTTCATCAAAGTGCACGGTCTCACTCAAGGGGACTGGGCATTGGGAGCAGGCTGACACTGACTCTCCCTGTTCCTGGGGGTGACTCACAGCCAACCCTGTCCGTGGTAAAGGGGGAGTGTGGTGGTAGGTGGGATTTCCAAGTCTGGTGTTGCAGCTGTCTCCAGAAAGGGACAGTCTACCCCTTTCACTTAAAGAACACATACGTGGAATGCGACCTGCTTCGGGTGAAAGGCAGCAAACACAGTACCGGAATTAATACTTCCTTCTCGCTGAGAGAGCCATGATTTGCTCTCTGATCCTGGCCCATATTACGACCCTTGCTCTAGCCACCATTTCTTTATGAAATGAGAACACTGGATTGAATGATTGATGAAGTTCTGTGTGGATAAGTACACTGCTACCGTGGTGACAAGGCCACACATACGGTGAAGTTTGTGTCACAATCCACAAAGGTGCCCTGGTTGTGTTGGATTCTCTCCTCCAAGTCTGCTTTATCCTCTTGTCTCTCACCGTGCCCTAACTTACCTTTTTTCTTTTCTAGGTTTAGAAGCCGAGCCCATAGAGACTTTGTGAGAGATGCTACTTGGTCCCCGCTCAATCACTCTCTCCTTACCACAGTGGGCTGGGACCATCAGGTCATCCACCACGTCCTGCCTACAGAGCCTCTCCCAGCCCTTGGACCTAAGAGTGTGGCCGAGTAGAGTGGATTTAAGACAAAAAGCAAACCCCCCATGAGTGTCCACTCCGTCTGTGAGACCACACGGGAGCCTTATACAGTATGTTGGTACACCAGATCTGGGCAGTTAATAGGCACTGTCTCTCAACCTGAGGGAGGCTGGGTTTTGGGATCCTGTAAGTCATAGGGAAGAAAAACTTTCTTAAAATTGGATATGTATGTGTGTCTTAGTGTGTGTGTAGATACATAGTTTTTGGTGGTGGGAGGGAATTAAAAAAATTGATCTTACATCTTTCTTTCCCAAGCCCTCCCCCCACCAAAAAAAAAAAAGTTTACAAAAGGGTTTTATACTTCCTATGTAGCTGTGCATGAGGGATTGGCCATGACTGGATGAGGTGTGGGATGTGGGCATCCCTGGATTCCTGGAAGCAGCTTATATACTACTCGTGGAGATAGGAGCGACTTTATTTTTTATAGAACTTAATCTGCCTTTCTTATGGCAATGCTTCCATTCACAAAAATCCCGCCCAGCTCACCTCGAGGAAAAGCCAGGACACTCCTCGTGGTTTTGCAAATCTCTTTGCCATTAAACTGAGTCAAAAATCCATTTTCTGGCTGAATAAAATTTTGGCTGGTGCCTGCATAACGCCCCCCCCCACCCCTCACCCCATGGAATTGTATATGTGAAAGATGAGTGTTTTCCTGTCATAGATCCCGTGGACAAAGGTTGGGGGATGGTGGAGAGCATAAAGGCATTTCAGTTAAGTTAAAAACTGACACACTCACAGAGAAATGTCTGCCGTGTTTCTCACTGGAAAATAGCTTGGGGCCTGACCTCTCCTGGCTTCTGGACTCCTTTCTCTGGATATAGGAAGTCTGAATGCTGTTTTTGTGGACTCTGACGATTTTAAAGTACAGCATCAGAGAATCAGAAATACTAGTTGGAGAAATAAAAAGCTTAGGCTTTGTTGGCCTGTCTTTTGAAGCGTGTGTTAAGTGCAGTTAGACATATCTCACTTATGTGAGTCATCAGGGTATCAGTCATAGCCCAGTATTTTTGTGTATGTGCTTCCCTAATCCCTTAGAGTAGCTAGTTGGGACTTAAATGTTAGGTTACTTGGGTTGGTGGACTGGTTACTGCCAGAAGTCATGGTCAATTACTGATTATGAAACTAAATACAATATATTATGTGCTTTGGTGCTTTGAAAGTTTAGCTCAGCTAAAATCACATGAAACTGGGGCAGTTTGAAGGAATATGGACAAAATATTTGTAAGAAAAGCTTCCATGCTTCACCCTTGCCAAACATGAGCCCTGTCATCACAATAACCATGAATAAAAACATCGGAATTTGTAGTCATGTGATTACTGGGTTTGGGGTAAGACGGGAAGACAGCCTTCACTGTTCCTGACCCTAACTTCTTGGAAGGTAATAGGGTGGGTGGGTGGGTGGGTGGATGGAAATGCTTAAGTTCTTCCTAGAGATAAACTTCACAAAGTTGTGATGGCTTAGAGAAAGGAGGGGTGAGGTGGGTCGGAACTAAATTTGCCTAGCCCTTTTCCTCCTGAACTCAGGAATGGTAGAGGGGAAAGCAGTGGAGATGAGAACCCAGGGAAATGTCTATCTGTTTCAAGGTGATTAAAATGACAGCAAAGAAGGAAAACCTAGTTTTTGAAAAACCACATTATCTTACTGTAAAAGAAAATTGGTTTGGATTCAGGTCTGTGCTGATGAGAGTAATCACATCTATTAATGATTGTCACCAAGACATTTGCAAATCTGATCAAAATCACCATCCCAGGTTGGAATGGCTGTCCCAGTTTGGGTTGAATGTGTATGTTACAGTGAGCAAAAAAGGTGGTTTAGAATAGAAAGTGACTCCTCAATGAGAAATGTGATAGCGCATGTGGTTCAGTGAGTCCCAGACGTGAGAGTTTCAGTAGCCTGAGCATGGACTTAACTGGTGATGGTTGGGAACAGGCTCATTTTACTTGTTAAAGCTACAGGCTTATATATTGCATTTAATATCACTGGTTCAGATGTCTAATGCTGGAGTAGATCCATTTCCCCATCTTCATTGTTCTTATTCTGAAGCCCATCCTCCTGACCCACTGTAGTCCACTGCTGATCTGCAGTTACCACGGTACATGACGCTCACCTTTTGGGTAGGGTCCCAAGCCATATGCTGAAGGAGCTCCGTAGGGTTTAATTTGGCACCAGACATTGCTGATTCCCAAGGTGTCTCCTGCCCCACAGGACAGCAGGAGGCCAGTTCTTTTAATAGCTATATAGGCATGACTTGATGATTCACCATCACATTACAGCAGCAAAATCATCCATTCCAGCACTATCTTTATTTTATTAAAATATTCTTTTTTGAATTGCCTCAATTTTTAAACAGTATCTATGAAATTAGGGTTGTGGGGAAATATATACTTTTAATATACATGAATGTTTTTAAAATCCTCATGTACAACCAAAAATGATCAAATACTGGGATACACTGCTCTATCCCTTTTTTTTTTTTTAATATTCTAAGTAAACACACCACACGTGGGGCTCAAATTCACAACCCTGAGGTCAAGAGTTGCACACTCTACCAAGAGCCAGCTGGCCAACTCCATCCCATTCATTTTAAAGATGTAAAATGGTAAAAATCTTTCAAGTTTGCACCAATATAGTCAACATTCTTTGGGCTCTTAGATTCAACCAATTGATTTTGTTCAAGTCATACTTAACCAATTTATCCACACGAGTATCGCAAAAGATTTGACTGAATGCTTTGTTAAAACCAAGGTATTTCAGCTCCGTGATCTTGCCTGCATCTAGTTGAGTATTGTAAGATATGGGAGGGGGTGCACTGCTGTAGGCCTTTCTTCAGCAAGCCAACTAAAAGACGTTTGTAAATGTCTTCTTACTCATGAGAACAGGCTAAGCACTAGGGAGGAGTATTTTCAAGTATCCGGGTGGGGGTGTAAAATATGTAACAATGGTTGTATTTTTTGAGAGCAAGAACTCAAGGAATGAGAGCAGACAGAGTGACATGGCGCAGTGACTTTGAACATAACCCTCATTCAGCATTTACTGTTCATCATCTGCTATACACATGGAGTCATAGTTGCCTTCCTTGCCATGGTCATCGCTGAATGAAACAGGTCACTCCTGGGCACCCATTGTTACTTTGTGGTGTTCTTTTCCTCCTCAGTCATCCTAAGGCATGGAATGGTTAGGTCTGAGATCCAGCCTTAGCACTGTAGCAGAAGAGGATCCCAGAGGACTGACCCAGGTGCAGGTGAAGATGGTTCAGATAGGCAGGCAGATTTAACTCTGTCCCGGAGACAGCATTAAGAACTAGTGCTTTTGGCAGGAGTTGGGATGGAAGGGCACAAACCTAGTGGGAAATCTCAGTGATATGGAATCTGGGGGACAGGAAGAGGGGGCTTGAGGGGAAGCTTAGAAGTAGAGAAAGGCAGGCATTCACTTCAAGGGGGGGCTCTTAAAAGATAGCAAGGGCCCCACGTGCCTGGCAAGACTGAGTCAGAACCTAAGCCCTGGGGAACCACTGTAGTGTCTAGTTTACAGAACAGGAAGAGAAAGGAATGCAGAGACCTGTTAACAAGAATTAGGTGACTTAGGCTAGGAATTGGGAAGTAAGAGCATGGTCATTAGTGTTAGAAACCACACCAGGGGTAACGTAACCAGTGGTACAAGTTGTTGCTTGGCCTGATCCAATGTTTGTATCAGGAGGCTTAACTATCTCCTGATTCAGGTTACTCTCAGCCCAAGGAATGGAGTGTGGCACTGAGCATGCAGATGGGACTGAGGTGGCCCGAGTGATGGGGCAGGGTAAGAACTGGATCTCAAATCTGTTTAGCAACAAAACTCATGTTTTCCCCATTGTCCCTATCTAAGAGAGATGAGACACATACTTCAAGAGGGAGACCTACACTAGCTCTTGGGGGTGCGATCAATCTTGTTCACTAGACTACAAGCTCTGTGAGAGCAGAAACTCTTGCTCACCATTGTATCCAGAGTGCCTAGCAGGGCCTGGCACGTGCTCAATGAATATTTGTTGAATACTTAAAGGAAGACAAAGATGGATGAACAAATGGAGACAGTCTCTTTTAGGTGGGGTATTCCATCAGGCCTGCCTAGAGTTTTACGGAAATAGCCTTTGCCTAAACTCTCTATACCATTTAATGTTTTTGTTCCATGATATCTTAAACAATCTTCTGATTAACAAAGTGATTGGTTTCTTCATACTGGAAGGGGGATGCAAATTCAACCACTAGTTCTTGTATTTCCCTGTGTAATTTATTATGTTGACATCTGGTTAGTACCTCAGTGACATGTAGACTAGGTGAACTACCAGTCTCTGAGAAAATGGGCATCCGATTTCTGGTCCTCCATGATTGAGATTCAGACCCTGAAATATGGGACCTACTCATGATCTGAGATCCTCTGTAGCAGGAAGAGGAAACGGATGGATCATAAAAGCATCTGGCTACAGATCTATTTTGTTTACCCTTCATATTGTTGTTGTATTTTAAAAACACTGGCTCTCAGGTATCCAGAATTATATTCCTTATGTTCCTTAGGTTCATAACACATTCTCAGCACTGGCTCGTATACTGCCTCAAGCATTGTTCACCCACACAAAGATTCAGATTTTTGTCTTCTCTTAAGAAATTGAGAGATCGGGACGCCTGGGTGGCTCAGTTGGTTAAGCATCTGCCTTCGGCTCAGGACATGATCCCAGGGTCCTGGGATCGAGTCCCACATCGGGCTCTCTGCTCAGCGGGGAGCCTGCTTCTCCCTCTGCCAGCTGCTCCCTCTGCTGTGCTCTCTCTCTGTCTCTCTGACAAAGAAAGGAAGGAAGGAAGAAGGAAATTGAGGGATCTTTCAACATGGGGTCTATTTCACTACATGGTAACCATTAGTGGCTACTTGGAGTGCTGTCCCTGTTTATACCAATCTCTATTGTCTCCTGACCAAGAGGCTTCATGTTAGTTCATGTGTATCACTGGGCTTGAACTGCTGTTGTTCTAATAAAGTGGAGAGTGAGCTATTATATTGTGTCCACTTCACCCATTTATGTTACCTGCCTGGCAAGTGTCAGCATGTGAGTTTGAGAACCCCACTCTGTGGCATCCTTATTAACAGCTACCATTTACTGAGCCCTTATTACATGCGAAGTCCTGAACTAACAGTTTTTCATGTCTTATCTTTTTAATTCCTATAAAACCTTATGAGGTGAGTATGAGCTGTTATCATTTTACAAGTGTGGAAACTGAAGCTCAAAGATCTAACTAAGTAACGCCCACAA